GAATTTTATTTATTTGTTGAATATTGTTTATATATTTTTCCTTACGGTCACTTAAATTGATTAATCGAATGAAATACACCATAATTTTTTTTAAAATAAATATGAATTTTCTTGTGATGGGTAAAATATTAATAAAATGATTGTTCAAAATCAAATGGAAGAAACTTATGAGCAAATATTAATGAAGAATTTTTTTTTTTTTAAATATAAATTTGCATTTTCTCGGATCAAGTATAAATCATTCAAATATTAATAACAAAGTATTCGATTTGTACGGAGTTTGATTGTGCCCCCTAACTAAAAATTTCTGCGTCCGCCCTCGATGAGTAGTGTATTCAAACTATTTTGATAGATTTTTATTTTTTTATTTTTAATTTTGTTGCAAGTTGTTAAAAAGAGGTTTACAAAAGGAACGCCGATTAATAAATGAAACGTTTAGTGACCTGACATGTCTTTGTCGGGCTTACGGAAAGAAGTATCTCTTTAAGATTTTCTTACATTAGACTCAAGATCTCAAAGTCAGCCTTATGGGGCCATATGTGCCATTACACAATCGAGGCCCAACATAAAACCATTACTGCTTACATGTAATATTATCATGAGAAAATTTCATGAGTAAGATTTTAAGTATCACACCTTTAAAAATTAAAAAAACAAGTTCCAAACTTCAAAAATTAGATTTTTATGAAAATTTATTTATGATTTAATTAATTAATTAATTTATTAAATATATTTAGGTCACAAATTAACGATTTACTTAGTCACTTATTTTTTTGTTCACAAATCAGAAATTTTATATCACAAATTATTTTACGGTCACAATTCGAAAATTTTATAGGTCACAATTTGTTCATCGATCACAAATCACGAACATTATAAGTCCCAACTTCTTATAAAGTCACAAATTATCAAATTATCGATCACAAATTAAAAAATTTTTAGGTCACGCATTATTTCTTTGTCCCAATTTGTATTTTTTATTAGTCACATATTGTTTATTGATCACAGATTAACCAATTTAATGGTCACAGTCAACTAAATAATTTATGACCACCACCCGACATTTGCGACCACCATCTCACCAATATTTGCAACACTACCACTATCGTTATCAGAACTACCACCACCATCGCACCCATGGTACCACAACCCAATCACCACACTATCATCTCACCTACAACACCACAACCGCACCCATAGCAACACACAGTCGCCAAAACCACCACCACCACCACCATCCCTCGACAACACCACCACGATGATCACAACCACAGATCGGGACTATTGCAGCCACTTCACCAACACCAACACCACCACCACCACCACCACCAACAACAACACAATCACACCCACAGCAAACACAACCGTGAACACAAACCATCACAGTCGCCAAAACCACCACCACCATCCCTTGGCGACAATGCCACAGTCACCAAAACCACAACCACCACCATCCCTCGATAACACCACCACGATGGTCACAACCACGGATCGACCCTAATTTCTCTAAGGCTACATTGCCTCGATGAAGATGACGCATTGCCTGGAACATGGAGAAAGCACCACGCCGTCACAACTGGAATATTGCAGCCGCGTCACCAACACCAGCACCGCCAACACCCAAACTTAACTTTCCCAAGGCATTGTCGTAACAGGAGCACCAGTACCTTCCACAAACGATGTGGGTCATAGGGCTTCTTCACGATGCTCAATAGCGTCGCCAACCATGCACACACACCTCTGACATGCGTCTTGTCGGAGAATAGCCGAATTTGCAACGACGGTGGGTCGAGCAGTCTGATTTGCAACGTCGTTGTGGAGAATGGGGGATATGAGAGAGTGAAGAGAAAGGTGGGTTTTGGAAATGAGGATGGGATGATTTGAGGATTAATTAATTTTTATTCATATTAACTATTTAGCCCTTATTTGAGCCCCATTCTTTTGAAAAAATACATTTTTTAACAGTGTTTTGACATCATTTTAACCACAAAATTTTCAATAAAATAATATTATATGCAAATCTAAAATTTTTGCTTATTTTTTAACCACACATTTTCCATCAATACACTATTCAAAAATTCATTCTTTCCCAAAAATGGGACTCAAACGAGGGCTTAATAAAATTTCTAATTTTTGAAATAGCAAACTTCACATATGATTTATGAAATTGAATCTTTAAAAGTATTAGTTTCTGTAATTTCCACTATTGGGAATCAAACAATACGCCTTATTATAATGGATTTTATTTCATTTGGGAAGTAATTGAATTTCAGCTTCATATTTTACAGCCATGGAATGCTTTGAAAATTATGAACCAGTAGCCACTATGCTCCGTGTCGCCAAGTGAATAAATAACGAAACAATTTTTGTGGCATGGATTATTTATGCAAGAAATAATTACTAAGCTGCGGTTTTTGGCAAAATTCATAAATTCTTAATAATAAATGATAAAAAATTATTTTCTATCACAAATTTTAATAGACCCACAAATACTGCAGTGAAAAACTAATCTAGTAGTGATCCAGCTATCGTTGTTGAGATTAAAGAAAGAATATAAAGAAAGAGGTTTTGTTTTCTTCTTGCTTATGCCAATAGTTAATTGTCTTCTTGTTTTGTTGATGGAAATAGCTTACCACAAACCCTTATTTATATTGACAAAGTTAGGGATCCTACCATAATTACCTACCGTAATTAGTTCTTCCCATCAAAGATCACTACATATAATTTTCTTCTAAACGAATTGTGTGTGATCTCGAAAGAAAGTTAGCCCTTGTTTGATATGGATTAAAAATTCAAATTTTAATCTAAGTAAATAACACTGAATTTTAACCACATATTTCACGAGTCTCACAAATTTTCAATGACATATTTCACTAATTTTTATCTAAATCTACTAAAAATTTAATTTTAATCTCCATCAAATAGGGGTATACCATAATAATTCTCTTAAGTGGTGATGTAGAACAGATGGCTGGGTGGATTGAGGGACAATTTGACCAAAAATGAAAAATAGTAAATTGTTGGTTTGGTGTTCGAGTTTAGATTTGGGCTAATAATATCTTTTCGGAAAGGAAATGACAAGAAGGACTAAACCCACTGCTTTGCTATAATCTATGATGGATTTTGGCCACACGTGTTCTTTTAAGGCTTGAAAACTACGTTTTAAGATTTAGTGCTATATTTTTCGTTTAGTTCATTTCAAATTCTTTGCAATTTTAGGTCCTCTTATGCTAGGTTTTCGTTTAAACCATTATAAATAAATGGTTAATTCTTTGTTCTTAGGCATCATAATACAAAATTAAAACATCATAACTTATATTGTAACTTATATATGAACGGCTTAAATGCGGGGATTGAAATTTCACCTATAAAAGGAGATAGTATATCATGTTTGAAAATGAGTTTAAAGAAGAATGGAGTACAAACGTAAATCAAATGAGGTCTTTTCATGCAGAGAATGAGATACATCATTAACCCAATTGACCATTCAACTTTGTTATACTAAACAATTAGGAGATTTTTCGCTTGACAACTTATAGTGTCTTACTGAAGGAACTTGGCTTGACTATTATGATTGAGAATTAACTTAGATTGTATAATTTTTCTGATTAGAAAATTAGTTCCATATTTTATGTTCCTTTCGATGTCCACATCCCTAAATCCTTTTATCTTGTCCTAAATATTTCATTTTTCAATGTGTAATATGTAATGAATTAGCCTACATTTGGGAAGAAATCATAAACATTTTAATTTATAATAAACTGAAATGAGTGATCGATAAGTAAATAATATTTATGAATCGGTTAAAATGTGTAGTTGATAATGAAGTTTGATACAAATTATTTATAAATTTTGCCAAATAAGAGGCTTAGAATTGGTTTCCCGATTCCATAAAGGATAACTTGAAGCTACGCATTAATTTCCAAGCGGTAGGCGTATTAAGGTTTAATAGCTTTTTGTATCCCTTAATAAAATTAAATATTTTGTTAATCTATTTTGTGAAATTTGAACTCGCCCAACGTTCTCTAGTGTCTCCAATTATTTGCGTGCATTATTTCATCATTCTCCCACCTCTCTCTCCCTTCTTCTCAATTAAGAACATTTTTGTTTGTACTCAAAAGTAAAGGATTATTTTATTAAACATAATTTTAAAAATTATTCTTGACTCAAAAACTTACTTTATAGAAAGTAAATCTCATCATACGTTTTAATAAAATAACTTTTGACGACAACAAAAACTAAACAATTAGCAAAACCTCCATTTAAGTTATAACTGCAAAAAATAAAAAATAAAAATAAATAAAATAAAATAAAATGTTAGGAGGATGATGAGAAGTAAAGGGAGAACATTGGCCTTGTTGTCGGCACAACATGCCAGAATTCATGGTCAAAGTATAACGAATCAAAATCGTAGTACAAGACCAAAAGATCTCTTCCCATTTACTGCGTATATTAATTTTCGTTGAGTTAAATTCAACAATGCTTGTCGAAGTTTCTGCAAAATTTCAAGTTGGCCTATAAAGTTATTTATAACTCATCGATCGCTCAAATTCAAATGATTTCTCCGTTGATCATTCGATTAGTAAAAGTAACACATAATCTGACATGACATACGTCAAGTGTCAACATTAATTCATCTACCAAACTCAATTAGAGCAAATGAAACCACGATTATTGAATCAATAATCTATACTAACCCTAACCCTTTCAACAATTAGGGTTTTACTTCTACTAATGGAGTTTGAAGGCGAATAAATAGCAGCACTTGGTTCCCCTTGGCACTTAAAGAAAGTCAGATTAGATTATACTTCTTTTTTTCTAAAACAATATCAAAGAAGAAAAAAGAATTCAAACTTCTTATTTATTATTATAATATGCAAAATCCCTCTTGTAAAATAAAAAAAAATATTTTTACTACCCAAATCACAATTCAAATGGAAAAAGTATTGTATATAGAGATATAGCACAACGCGCAGAAATGATAGATTTCAAGTATCGAATTAATTCCTAATTTGTGGATTCCAATTTCCATCAAGCTAGTCACAAGAGAAAAATATGTATTATAAGAATGATAATGATATAGATGAAGATGATTCATTATTATTTAATGAAGGTGGTTGATTAGGGATAAAGCATTGCTAGTAAGTTTTTGCACTCCAGTGATACTGCTTCTGATCTTCTTCTTCACAATGGGATTCACTTTCCCGCCCGAAAATCCGTCCATGCACGAATCTATGTCCGTTATGGCTGCACTAGCCCATGTCTTGGCATTATCCCATTGTAATTCCTTGTCGGGATCATTGAGATGTCCGATGGCATTGAGCGTCAGCTTAAGTTCATAAACCGTGTCTTTCATGTCTTCGATGCAGTCCTTGATGGCTTTCGCCTCGTAACGCGCAAGCCCATTTTGCTTTGCTATCTTCGACACGGCGGCCGAGGCATTGCTGGCTGCCAGTATGGCCTCCGTGAGGGCGGCATTGCAGAGCTTCAATGGTTTGGTACCCACCTTGGGAGCGTATGGGATGAGGGTCTTGACGCATAGTGGTGGATATGTGGCGTTGGTGCATGATTTGGTGATGAAAGTTTTAGAAGCTTTTAAAGGTGAGGCACTCTGTGCCAAAGAGATAAACAGAAGAATTGTGAGGACACTGAAAATTTGCTTAATAGATAACTTGTTGCTTGCAAATACTTCCATCTCTCTCTGTTTCTATCTCTTCCTCTACTTCTATGAAGGAAACTTGTAAATTTGTGTTGAAATTCGGGATGGAAGAATTTATAAGGCAGATTCATTGGTGCTTTACACAGAATATTTAGGGTGGATTAAAGTATAAAGGGCGTATTCGAAGGCACATGCAGATGAGTGTGCGAATGTATGATAATGAACACATTTTGCTGCTAAATTCTGTTGCAATCACATGCTGTCTATGTAAGTTGTAGGTCAATCCAGCGAAGGGTCCATTAATTCTAAATTTTTTAATTATGTCACTTATTAATTGTCAATCTTTGCTCATTATCGCTAACTTTTTCTTCGATGTATTCCTATTATCAATCTTTCGTTAATTAGCACATTTCTTCTCTAATGATGGTTTTTTGTCCAAAAGTCTATACAGAAAAAGTTTGACATAATTTTTACAAAAGAACACTTGGCAATTTTTCATTGAATTATTCAAGTCCGTTGAGAGGATCGATGACACTTATTTTCCATTTATATTAAAAAAAAAAAAGATAATTGAAAAATTGTGACAAAGTATTTTTTCCTCAATTCAAACTACGCATACAGAATTGTTAAAATAAATCATCTTCATGAACTAGATGTATAGATTAAAGGTTGAAGTTAAGCCACGAAAAAAATTATAGCGATAATTATTATAATGAGCAATTATTGACGACCTTAAGCGTAATTAAAATCTAGTCTAACAAATAAAATTATAGTCTAAAACAATTAGCTATGAATTTAATCCTCATCAACACTCAATTGAGATTTTACGTTTTAATTTTATTTCAAGCATATATCTAAACTTTACATAAGGAAAAAAAAAAAAATATTTACTAGCTTAAATATTTAAATAAACTGAAATGACCTGCTAACACACCTTTCATTAAAAATTAGGGTGCTACCGTAGTCATATGCGGCCTATGAACATAAAACATCATGTAAACGTCAAATCTCTATTTGATAAATGTTTAGTTAAAAAGGTCAAACTCCCTAAGCACATGCAAACGTGTAGCCAACATTGTGCGCATGAAATGCTGCTGAATGAAAGGCGATGTTCATGGAAAGAATTTAATGGAGTGAAAGGCCGTAAAAGGGGAAAAAATAAAAATAAATTAAAAAGAGACATAGTTATGATCTTATATTTTGTTAATCTCTATTGGCGCTTGAATCGAGAAATTCTTATTCCAATCATTTGGAACTCTTCAGCAATGAGATTGAAACGTTGAGAATTTACTTGCTCCTTGTTAGAGGCAAGACTAACTTGTGGTTCGATAATAACTTCACGATTAGTACTATAATTTTCATATGAAATAACTCGTGTTTAAGTATTATTAGCTTGATCAAAGCGTGTTCGAGGTTTTGATATTCAAACATTTTAACTTGTGAAGAAAATTAGGCAACCATTCTTGTTTTTCTTGACAGACAAGGACTATATTATGCAATTCTAGAAATTCATTTACTATGTCATGCGGATAAGTGGAAACACACTGGAACGAAGGCAGAAATTGTGTAAAGAAATCCCATTGTATTCGGTGGTATTGGGTCCATTTAGATTGGTGTAACGTACACCGTCTGCAATATCTAACAGTTTACAATGAGGTGGGATTAAGAAATTTCATATATCGTCCCGTTAATTTAATTTAATTTTTTTATATGTTTTTCAAAATTTTCATTTACAATTTGAATTGAAAAATGTAAAAATGATTTACTGCTGGACAGGTCGTGAGCAGAAATGTTGCCATCCTTACTTATTAACTCAACTCAATTTGAATTAAGAAAAAAAATATTTTCTTACTACTACAGATTATGTAATTGCAAGTATGAAATATATCGACTATCTTTTGTTTACTAGAAATACATTCACTATGTTATGCAAGTTTAGGGGGTCTAGGAATGTAAAATTATCTTTTACTAATATTTGTTTGATATTTTGTTATTTTTAGATAGATTCTATTGTGGTGATATTTTGTATTTTACTCCACGAGAAACCCTATCTTCAATTATAGTTTAATTATGCAAACCTATTACATTGCGATTTGATTAATTTTATGGTTGTCCAAAATTGAAAACTTTTACAAGTCAAGTAATGTCATATCCTATACGCACAAGCCAATGTCTCCTTTAAGGTTGAGTAATAAAATGTTTGGAGTTCTGATTTATTTTTGAGTATATGAAAACATGGAGTGGAGGATATTAGTGCACTTAGTTTTATACAAAAGATCTTGGCTTACTTGGCTAGTTCTTTGTATTAGAGGCAGGGGCGAATCCTGGGGTCGAGTTTAATTAGGGCGGATCGCGAGCGTTGAAAACTTACTATCGATAGCCAACGTCCGTGATAGTGGGGTTGTTTAATAATATTTAATTAAGTAATATTCAAAAAATCGTACGAATTAGAACTAGAAGAATTAGATATACCACTAGAACTAGAACTAGAACTAGGTACGAACTTTCATTTTGGATGAAAAATCGTTCCATAATTTACAAAATGCCCTAATTTATTTTTCAATTAAATAAGGAATATATATTAACAAAATGCCAATATTTAGTTTACAATTAAAGTCAACTAAACAAGCATTATTATATTAACAAAATTAAAATTATTTATATGATTGTATCAATTTTATATGCTTGTATGATTCCACTTTTTCACAATCAATTTTTTGTAAACGAAAAGTGGAACCTTTTATTATAATTAAATAAGTTTTGTTGAAAGATTTCTTATGCTACTAAGGGCAATTTTTCTACAAAATTCATCTACCATTAATTGACCAAACTCTCAAATAAATTGATTAGAGAAAAAAAGAAAAGAAAAAGAAAATCAAGAAGATGGACAAAGCACCAGTTAAAATGTTTCTATTTGCATTAAACCAGTAAAATTGAATATATATTATTTTGTTACATTATGTGCTAAAAATTACTAAGTGTCATGATGGTAAAGTGGTAAATATTTTTAAGGAAGGTAGTAGGTTCGAATCATATTCCCTGCATTTGTTTTGGTAAAAATTATTGAAATACAAAAATTATAAAAAATCTTGCTCTTAAAGAGTTTCGAACTTCCAATTCAATAGTGGAAGGGCTAACCAGCCAAGTTACTAGAGATGTTTGTTGTTCTAAATATTCTATCTATGGGTGATTAGCACAAAACGTCCCTACCTTTGGAGGTTTTTGTGGATAACGTCCCTACCTTTAGGTTTTTGGTGGATAACGTCCCCACCTTTACCATTTTTTGCGCAGAACGTCCTTCTGTCAATTCACCGTTAAAATGTTCCGTTAAATCAAATAAAATGGATCTTTTCTTTTTAAAATGCAGGGGTAATATCGTCCATCAACATTTTCTTCACTGTGTAATCTCTCCCGCCTCTTCATTTTACGCATAACCGACCCTTTCTCTGGACGAAGCGAAGGGGACGACGCTGTTTCTTCTTCCTGCCCAACCATATTTTGTGCGCATTTCGGTTACCCTTTTTTCCTCTACGGTGATCACCCTCGTTGTCGCACAGTCGAAGCACACTTGAGGCAATTTGAAGCGAGCGAAGGTAAGAGAAGTTTGGGCTTGGATTTTTATGATTTCAAGTTAGGGATTCGGCCTTTTTTCATGATTTGGTGTTTTAATTGAATTTTCTACTGCTTTATTATTGTTATGCAGGCAGAGAAGGACCCATTACAGAATGGAAGTCCGAAGCTGCCAAACTTGCTCCGTCTTCACCCGAAGCCGCTGAAGGAGATGAAATAGGCAGGGGTGAGTTACCACCCATTCCCAATTTTATCCTTACAAGTTATTGTGATTTGTGAATATGTGAAGAGATTTTGAAAAAAAAGCATTTTTGTGAGCATATGGGTTAAAATTTCTTACATATGGCCAATGGCAGGTATATGCTCCTTCCATGAGCAACATGTTACCTCCGATTTTGAGAGATCTTGGAGACAGTCCACCCATTTATGGTATAGTCTTACATCTATACATTTCTGCCTGCATTAATTTCTCCCAAAACTCCCCAATTTATTACTTGATATTGGTTTTCTAATTCCCTACCATTTGCATGCAGGTGCTAATTCTCCATATTTCACCGTTGAATTACACTACGGCGGCAAATTTTATGAAAAACCAAACAATTTGGTGTACGAAGGGGGCTATGTGGTTTTTATTGATTTCTTTTGTGCTGCGTTGTTTACGAAAGAGAATTTGATGAAATTCTTACGTGCAATTGGTGATGAAATATTGTTGGAGTTTTATTATAAGAAGCAAAGGATGAGTTTGGGAAAGGGGTTGACGAAATTGGAGAGTACAAGGGATATTGAGGAAATGCTTAAGAATAGGGAGGGCCATTCAACATTACACATATATGTCATAGCCCCAATGCAATCATATGCATTGCCGTTGCATGCGAATGAAGTTGATGATGACCAACCATTGGAAGGTTGTTATGTACCAATTGTTGAAGAGAACGAAGGAGCGGAGCCTGAAGTTGCTTGGTCAGATCAATTTTTTGAGGACAATGCTGAAGAGTTGTGGGCACAGTATGAGGAAAGTTTACAATATCACTATGATGCGAATCCAAATGTCGGTGATATGAGTGAGGGAGTGGAGGAAGTTGTAGTTGAAGATGTCAATGAAGAGCAAAGTGGGGGAGAGGAAGTTGAAAGGTTGATAGAATCTGATTACGAGATGGAGCATGAGCCAGTAGCTACTGGTGAAGCAGGTAGTCAACGGGTTAATTTTGATTTCAGATTTGGTGTATCAGATACGCAGCAAGTTAGGGATTCAGATACTGATTATGGAGACTCCGATGAGTTAAAAAGCATTCAAAGTGAAGATGAGTGTACAACTTCAAGAAACAGAGCTTTTACTGATGCTTTCAATGTGAGGACAGATATGGAGGATCCAGAGTTTAGAATAGGTTGGTTGAAGATTTTCTTTACTACAAATTAAATGTATTTTGTAATTTATTTTATAGAATCAAAGGCCCTAATATTTTTTTATCATGCAGGTTTGGTATTCGAGTCGAAGGCTATCTTGAAGGCTGCAATCACTGCACATTCAGTTAATAA